ATTTCTAAAGAAAGAAAATTATTTTCATGTTAAAACAATGCAATATCATGAATTATCTGCTTTGTGTCATTTATGGATTATAGTGTAAAATTGTAAGCTTGGGTGGAATTGGTTATTAGGTACAGTCTTAGGTCTCTTTAACATGAGTGATTTTTCATTTGATAAAGGAATTATTTGTTGAAATGAGTGACACGGAGCAAATCTTTACAGATCAGTTTTGTTTTGATCAGTGATATAACACACTTTCAGATAGAATTGACGATGACACTTGTAATAATCAGGTCAAATGAAGGTGAAATTCTGGAACATGGAAAATGTTCCACTGAACAATGAGCAATGTAAGGCTACAATTTTGATTGGCTTGCCAATGAGAGAAGGGCTGAGATGGAGCTCCTCTTTTCCTCGCTCTAATAATTATGACACACAGCCATTATTTTGATTGGATCACCTATCATATTGTTTTTTTTGGTGGGGGGGATTCCTTCCCCCTTCACTTAAGGTATATGACACAAGACTATTGGTCAAGCATTATTATTGACTAGCCAATACCATTGGTCAAGCATTATTATTGGCTGGATGGATGACCATGGTACCTCAATCAGCTAAAGATTGGTTCTCTGCACTGCTTTGTGAACTCCTTTGATCAGCTGCCTTCATTTAATTAGTTGAAAGAATTTGGGCTGTTTAGCCATAACTGCAATTGCCAGTCAACTTCTTCCTCCCAACTCAAGAATTCCTTATACAGGGAAACTTCTTCAAATCCCTTTTGTTCTGTATTCATAATCTTAATCAATCATTGTACCATAAATAAAAGTTGTTATCTTTACACTTGTTGAAGTTAATTAAGTTTCAAGCAGAGTCATGACAGCTTTGACAGCTCGATATTCTTGCATACACTAAAACACAATGTGGAGGTGCATTCAATGAAGCATTCAGTAACAAGGTCATACTTGTAAGACATCAAATAGATTAATATGTTTTCTTGTAGCATGATTAATTTGTTTATTACAGCTTATCAACCTTTTGCAGTTTATTTAAAGCCAGAAAATTGTTTTAGATTAAGAATTTTTTGGAAATATCAATGATTTACTGATACAAGTCCTACTAATTAACTCATAGCTGGGGGTAGAAGAGGTGGATTCATACCTTTGCCAAGGGTATTTGCATATAAGTGAACATAATGAACCTGATCAGAAATGGAACTTGGCTTTCCAATTTCCAATTCTAAGACATTATCCATTACATCACCCACACATCCAAGCTTACAGCAGCTGGTATTTCCATCTTGGCACTGACCAGTCTCAAAATTGCTTAACTTTGGTGATCATATGAGAACCAGTGTTTCAATGTAATATGACCATGAGCCCTGATGTAGTGTGGTATAAAGTCAAGTTTAATGTTGCAACCATCACACATTATCTAATTCCCTCGACACTTGCCTTCTGGCATGCCACAAGCATCAGGGTTTGATTCAGATCCTATCTTTACGTTCAATATGGAGAAGCAGCCTGGAGGAATGGAAAAGAGTTGTAAAAGATTGAATTTTGAAGTTTCACAATACAAGGGAAGTAACTCTTACCAAACGATGACTAGAGACTATTGAAGATATAAGAGCCAACGCTAACTATCCTTAAAACTATCATTGGTATTTATTATATCTACCTCTTGAGTAATTGAATATTAAAATGGAAAAAAATCCTATGTGACAAATTTTGTCCTTTGAAGAGGTTTCTTCAGATTAAATAATTTTTTTTAATGATAAGTTGGCAAATGTCAGTTATAGACATGAAAAGAAAATGCAGGGACAATTTAACTTTAAGTTTGAATTAACTTAAATTAATCAATTCTAATTGATTATTTTAATTTAAATTAGATTAATCAATTTTAATTTAAAATTTCTGTCATCTGATGTATTTAGAAGCTTAGAAGCTTAATCGAGTTGGCCTCATTTCAGCTTCCAACCATTTTTAAAGGGTTTGGTTTGAAATTCCTATGTATATCACCTGAAGAACATCGAAGAGTACAACAGTTGAGACTTCATGAATATGACAATAAAGATGAGGACAACAGTCTGAACAATGTAAATAGTGTAAATAATTGTCATTCTGTTTCTGAAGGTAAGTGTGGTTTGTCCAATGCAATCTTTGTTACATCCTTTACATTTAATAGCATATATTAGATTTTTTGATGAACAGGTGAAGTATAGTTGTGTTTTTACATCCTTGTTGAAAACACAACTATATTTAAACATGAAAACAATAAACAAAAATTTTAAATTCTTAAAGCTATTTACATAAAACAGTTGAAACCTAACCTGAACAAAATAAACTATGAAATCTCCACAAATATTCTTAAATGCCTATAATTTATAACAGAAGTCATTGGTTTATACCAACAGCTTCCCATACTTAACACTTCTCATTTTCACTCTCGCATGGTCATATGTGACGTCATAAGCTGTGGTGCGATTTTTGCTTCTAGCATCTTGTATGCACGAGTTTGTCATTGCTTGGAAATCTTCCATGTAAACATAAACAGACTATCATTATTGTTTTGTCCATGTATTGGTTAATATATTGTAATGTAATTGTCATCTTTGATAATGGCTTATGTAAGCCGAAAGCTTAGGATTAAAAAATATGTATCAATATTGTGATTTTCTTTCTTCTTTTAATGAAGAATAATAACATTATATTAAGCTTATCAGACAATATGAAAAGAATTTACATAAAATAAATAGACAAAACTTGTCTATATTATTTAATGAAACATGCATCAATCGACGACTTAGTAGTAGAATCTCCGACTGACACCAATTCAGTCGGGTTTCGATCCTAGATAAAGGCAAATGGATGTCTAGCCACACTGATGAGCTGTGAAACAGTGAAACAGTCTGTCTGTGGATGATGTTATATATATATATATATATATATATATATATATATATATATATATATATATCCTGAACCCACTGGACAAGGTTAGTAAGTCTGATTAGAGACCCTAGGCAGTGCTTTTTGACCCTCACAATCTTATCAACATTTGCTTTATATACATTGTTGATTTATTTAATGATCTATCATGACATATCTCTAATTTATATTATAGACATATTGTATTTATTTTCAATTTTTTTAGTTGAATTGTTCAGCTATATTGCATAGGATCCATTATTGTACATAATTAATTCTTTAAAAAATTTTGAAACAACCTGTGTCTTTCATTTCGTGTGCAAGTATAGATGTGGCAACATAATCAAAGCCAAGTTTGATAAAATCCTAATGGATGAAACACATGACAAAAAATCTTTCCAGTTTGTCATATTTTTCTAAATACTGTTTGTTGATATATAAGATTATACAAAATTATATATCGTTATATTATTATATATATATATATATATATTATTCATATATATATATATATATATATATATATATATATATATATATATATATATATATATATATACATATGTGTGTGTGTGTGTGTGTGTGTGTGTGTGTGTGTGTGTGTGTGTGTGTGAATTGCAATTAATGAGATTCAAACGAATTATTTCATACAGATGATTATTTCATCCATGGGGAAGTATTTTTTCCCTGGACTTATCAATGCAAATACATTTACTAAAAAAATGCAAATACATTTATTAAAAAAAAAAAGATTTTTTTTTTAGTAAATGTATTTGCATTGATAAGTCCAGGAAAAAATACTTTCCCATGGACAAAATGATCATCTGTATGAGGTAATTCATTTAGATATCATTAATTGTAATTCACTTATATGCTCTATAATAAAAATTATATTGTGCTCTCTTTATATATATCTTCCCAACTGAGCAACTGGTAAGAAGGAAAAAATCATTCAGGTCTTCAGTAATGGTATAAAAATTCATACTCTGGCATTCATCTTCAAAGTCCATTCAAGACCCATCAAGAGAATGGTGAATAAATATAAAAAAGAGGGAACAGTAGAGAGGAAAACTGGATCAGGTGGTCACAACAGGAAGAGGGATCATCATTTCAACTTAGAGCTAAATACATTCTTATTGTTCAAAGCAGAGTCCAATAGTATTATAAAGACCTTGGAGAATTCCAGTTAGGTATCTTTAATCATATCTAAGATATGCCGGTTCAAAAAGAGTTTAACAATTGGACAATTTTGCTGTTACTCCTGGTGTGTGTGTGTGTGTGTGTGTGTGTGTGTGTGTGTGTGTGTGTATTAAATAATGTATAAACATATATATATATATATATATATTTTATATATATATATATATATATATATATATATATATATAAACCTGGCACATGTCAGAGGGTATCCCCAGACGTTTTATGTGGTCTAGTGAATTTTTGCCCAAGCCTAGGGGCTCGGATACCTGAGTTTAAAACTCGGCCTTGAGCAGCAGGTAAATATATATATATATATATATATATATATATATATATATATATATATATATATATATATATATATATATATTCGTTCTGACAAAGTACTGTGGTTAAGAAGCTAAGAAGTGTTTTCTTTTCTGAACACAAAGTGTGCAAATATTCAAAAGTTCGGTATATCCGAGCCTCCTTCGCTATTCTTAGCCATTATCAAGGACGATTTTAAAAAAATTTTAACAACTGTATCTGTGTTTTATTTTGTTTTTTTTTTTATGTATGTGTTTTACAGGAATGTTTTATTTTCCAAACATGTTCAGCACAACCGGCCTACCAAACTCCATTAAGTAAAATAAGCATCCTCATGTAAAAAAAAGATTAAAAATAATGAAAACTCTAATAATAAAAAAGGAAAATCCAACACTTAATAACATTAACTACAAACAATGTACTAACCGTGTTTAATTTAAGAATAAAGAATTATTTTACTTTAAAAGCCGAAACATTTAAAAACCTTGAAAAAAACAGGCCAGATTTGTTTCCTAGCAACCTGACGGAAGTGACGTCATTTGGCGCCGCCACCGTGAAAGAAGCTTACATCCGGTCGTGATGGCGGACGAAGGAACTGAATTGACAATCCGCTGGAATGGCACGGAATACAAACTCACAGGTTTGCAAGGTACCGATACGGTGGCAGGCCTTAAAAGCCGGATTCAAGAGATGACTGGGGTCTTGCCACAAAGGCAAAAGCTTTTGGGTCTCAAGTATAAAGGTTAGCATTTTAAAATTATACTGCATTTCAATTTGTTATGATGTTTTAGCTTGTTCAGTCATTGTTTATATTTTTATATGTGAATGTATCCGACTTTATTTTTATTTTAAAATTTAATAGTATAAAATACACAAAATAATTTCTTAGCCTCTTGAGTAATCTTAAAATATGTTTTATGTTTTAATCGTTAAACTTTATTAAAATTACTAACTAATGTTTTAAATTTGTTTTTAAAACCCTCTGAACAAATGTCTTTTTTTTTATTTGTTTAATTTTCGCAATCATAATTCGCCTGTAACTTAAAAATAACCAGCCGCTAATGTTTTCATAATGTCTTAAACTGTGAGACCATTCGGCTTAAATATTAAAAAAACATTTATAATTGCTGTTGAGTCATGCTTGAAGCTACATCAGAGAAATTACAGACAATTACAATATTTTTCTTTGTAAAAAAAAAAAAAAAAAAAAAATGGCACCCTTCCATATTTTTATTTGTTGATAGTTGTCTTTGTCCAAACTAAAAATTAACAGCGGGTTTTTCTTAAGAGACAAAGAGAAATCATCGTTTGTTTATTGTTTATATTATTAAGAAGTGACGAAAAGGCTTCGCGCTGATAAAAATAAAATGCTTATTAAATAAGAAACGGAGAAAAGGGATTTTTTTTTCACTGAATTGTTGTATGAAAGGATCTTTTTTTCTTTCTTTTTTTAACTTTCTCACGCGCATATTTGTTTTTATTAATGATCTCGCTTAGAGAAAATTACTGTTGGAAGATTGTCAACATAAGTGTATGAATTTAAAAAACAAACAAGCAACAATTTTGCTCGTGTCTGGAAATTACTGATGGAACCAAGAACAAAATAAAATATAAACATTTTGAGTTTTGTTTGACAAATTAAAAAGACAACGTATCTTGAACAGAAGGGTTCGGTGAAAGCATCATCAAAAATGAAAATGAATTTCAAATATTAATAAATTTTTGAATACTTAACCGAATAATTCATGATTGAAATGTCTATAATTATGACAATTATTATCTGAGCCCGTGGAAATTTCCCGTATGTTGATAAGATTTTCCATACTCATATAAATACCGATTTTTATGGTTGTATTCATCATAAATATATGACTTTACATAAATTAATAAGCAAAATAAATAAAAAATAAGTTAAAAAAGGAATATGGAAAATATTAAAAAAGACTTAATTTAGACACGAGGAAGGAGGGATACTTTCGTAGTATCGTTTTTAATTAGTCTCTTTCTAGTCCTCTTTGCAATGCATTACGGTCGGACACACCAATCAACCGAATGATTGATCTCAGAACTTCAAACACTTAATTATTCTTGTTAAGCAGATTAAAAGAAAAAAAAATTGTTTAGCAAGCTCGTCTCACAAAAATCTTAAGTAAATTTATTTTTTTTAATCCACATTAGGTGTTCCATGTTTTTAGTAAAGGAAGATAGAATTTCTTAAAATGAAAACGAGTCCACTTTTTTTTTTCCGTAAATCCTTTTCAACCGAAGCAATAAAACAATTAGGACACAAGGGGTTACCGAGTGTTAGAAAATATGAGAAAAACTATTATTAAGGAAAGAGGACAATAAAAGAACATGACTTAAGAAGACAAGATAAAGATTGATTGCATTTAAATTTTTGAAGATCAAAGTTGACTGGGAGGCAAGAAGTCATAAACGAGAAGTGTGATAGAAGAAACTGTTAGCATGGAATTTGTGGTTACACATCAACTGTAAACTGAGGAGACCTTACTGCCAATCTAGTACTGTGTTTAAATTCATAAAGTCTAGGTATCACACCAGAAAGTTCATCAGAACAATTACCATGAAAGTATTTGTAGAAAAGGCTTATGGATACTATGTTATGTTATAGATTGAAGCTGAGATACCAGGTCAAGACCAATAATATTGTAGATTCTTCTTCTGGATTTTATCACGAATCTCAAAATATATAGTAGGAGCACCAGACCAGATGTGGCAGCAATATTCAAGGCAAGAACAAATGGTTGACTTACAAATATGTAAAATTGATTCTGGCAAGAAAAGTTGTCTACCACAACATAGTGAATTAACTTTCTTAGCTGCAGACTTAGCATTTGATTCAATATACTCTTTTCACTTCATGTCAGCTGAAGACGTTAGTCTGAAAAGGTGCAATAAGTCACTCTCCTGGAGTTTAGCATTAGCCATGCTGATGGAAGATAGTGTTTTTTCAGGTGATTAAAAGAGAGCAGTTTTGTTTCTGAGGTGTTAAAATTAACAAGCCAAATATGGGGGGGGGGATAATCATATCTATGTATATAATTTTTTTATGCTAGAATTCATCAAATACAAGGCTTGAGTCATTCATGGTAGAATGTTACTGTTGTGTGACAGGAAGTGAAGATAAAGGGTAAGAGGATAGATAACAATTGACCTTTTGCTTGAAATGATTAAGATTGTCCTGTTCAGGGAGGCATGGTGGAGTAATGGATAGTGGCTCGGATTGAGGAATCTGAGAGCCGAGTTCGAATTCCACTCGAATCCATTACATTCACTTACATGCTAATACCCTTAGGAAAGGTATGAATCCTCTTCTTCTCTCTCCAGCTATGGGTAAATAGCAGGACAGACCGGGTTCTATAGCCTTGGATTGCAACTGGTCTACAGCAGGAAGAAATGGCAACCTACTGCGGGGAAAAAAAATCTGCCTCACCTGTCATGTATTGAAAGATACATGATTGCCTAAGCGTGTATCACGCATGGCACATAACTGACTGACTGTTCAGGGAAGCACCCACACGGAAGTCTTTGTGCTGATTGCAGTATCTTTATCAGATGATGACTCTAAGACCAGACACCTTTTCAGAGCCGAAGCATTATCACAATCCCAGTGTGTCCTAGCACTCCCTCTGTAATATAAGACTTTATTGGCATTTCTGTAATAGTGAGTATATGACAAATAACTTCTAAGGAGAATAAGAACTGAAATGGAAAATGTTGATAACAATCAGAAAGTGGCATTGAAATTCTTGGGTTGTATAATAAGGAAAGAAAGCTTGGAGAATTTAATACTCCTTGGTCACATTTCACTGGGAAGAGAAGAGAAAAAGCTTTGATGGCATAGTAAATTTCAGTTCAATTCCTGGGCTGGGTAGTATAGACTTAAACTCTATGGAAATGGCAAGAAATAACTGAGCAGTGCTAAAAAGAAGGCTAGTTATCCCTAGACATGGACAACAGAACAAGAACAGTTTACTTCTTGTAGATTAAATAAAAGGTCCAGTTCAAAATTCCATGAAGGTTACCTAGATTGAGAGGATACAACAAGTGAAATGTTGTGACAACAACAAAGTTGAGAGCATTAATCCAAATACAATTAAAACAGATAATTATCTGCAGGGAGGAGGAAGTTTCTTGTGGTATTGAAATAAATGGCAATAATTTAGCAATAGTGAAATTGCATTACAATATTTGTTGTCAAAGAAAATTCTTAAATATTTCAATATCTTTGTGATATTACCAAGTATTTTTTCTTGTGTCGCAATGTGGGGTAAATTGTTATGGCAATGAAATGGTCAGCATGGTTGATGCTAACCTCCTGGAGAGCAACTCTTTACACCTTTTTGGGCTCATGTTTTCCACTGAAATGAGGTGGAGAGATTATATTGAATCAATTGCTAAGTCTGCTGCTACAAAATTTGCTTCACTGTATTATGCCAAAAAACTTTTCTCACAAGATTCCATCTTGGACATTTATAAATCTACCGTTTACCCATGTATCGAATATTGCTGCCGTATCTGGTCTGGTGCTCCTGCTGTATATCTCAAGATTCTTGACAATATCCCTAAAAAAGGTCTGTCAGGTAATCAATTCTGACCTGGCATAGACATCAGTCACTTTCCCACTGCTGTGACATGATTTCCCGCTGTCTTTTCTATAAATATTTTCATGGCAATTGTTCCAATTAGCTTTCCCCCTTGGTGCCTTGAATGCATGAATTTAAGTGTACTACTAGATTGGCAACTAGGTCCCATCGTTTTAATGTTGAACTAGCTTGATGTAACTGTCTGTTCTATTCTAATAGTTTCTTTTCTGGCACTTCTTGCCTGTGGAACTCTTCTGAATTCTTGCTTCTCTGCCACCTCATGTCATGATCAATCACTAATCCCGTAAACTCTTAGAATTGTTGGGGCACCACATTTGCCGCAGACGTAATGGCAGTGGCGCTTCATGTGAAAGACAGCCTAACAGAGCCCAACTCTCTCCAGGCTTGTTTGAATTCGGAATTTTCCTTCTCCTAGACTGGTTGCCAGCCAAGGATATGGGGCCCGATCTGTCCTGTTATTTACCCATGGCTGGAGCTCAAGGGTATTAGCACATAAGTGAATGTAATGAAATTGACTGGAATTTAAACTTGGCTCTGTGATTCCTCAATCCAAGTTGCTATTCACCATGCCTCCTGCCACTTACAATCTGCAAATATTTAAATGCATCATCATCTTTTGAATCTTGTCTTTTCTCCTTACTTCTCATTCTCTTTAACTCCCAGTAATGTCTTGCATGGGATGATTTAAAAAGAAATAAGAAAATCCTTTTTCTTCAAAAGAAAAATAATAAAAACCAAATCAATTGTATGGTATCAATTAACCCCAGGAGACTATGAATTTGTGCCTGTTTTACCCATCAAGTGCAGATGGGGTGATGTTGGCACATCCTGTGCTTGGGCAAGATGTTTTTTCATACATGAGATCGACTGCTATGCAGCACATCTTCGTTTTCTATGCTGTTGATGTTGTCCATGGGAACGACAATATTGCTTGGCACTAGTGTTGTAGAAATTGCCAAAACAAGCTTTTGGAGCTTCAGATTTTACTCTCATAGTTTACTCCCAAAACATTTCCTGTGATTGGTCATGGCCACAAGGCAGAGGAGGTTTGAAATAAGTACTTTCCTTCTCTTAGACTGTTCTCCCAGGCTAACTAGATCCATCTTGACTGATTTTAAACATTACCACTCTCATTAAATAACTACTTCATGCACATTGAGTATATCTGCTAAAAGTTATAGTTTCTTATTGCTTAACATGTTGATTGTCAGAGGTTAATTACAAAATCTGACTTCAAACACCAACTTTATAATGGCCTACTTAGGCTATAAAAGATTTTTATGGGTTGATTTATAGGTTCAGCTGAAGTCTTAACATTGTTTTTCATACTAAAAGTATCACAGTGAATAAACTACTTGTTGGTGTCCGCAGATGAAAATGTATCAGAAAATGCCAAGCATGAGAAAACTTGTAATTGGCATCATAATAAAAACTTTGAATATTTTGTATTTTGTCCACTGAAACACATTCTAAATTGCATCAATTAAAAGGTAATGATTCCTTAAGGTTTAAAAGGAAGTGTCAGAATATCTTGTGTCCTAGCTCTGGAAATGCTTCTTGAGTGTATCTGTTAACAAAATGTTTCCTTTATTGCTTGGAAGGAAATGTCTGAATAATAAAATCTGTTATAATGTATATTAATGCTAATCATATGAAGTCTCCAGCCATTTTTAATATTTGATAACTGATTACATGGCCTTGATTTAATTTGGCAACTGATTCCTGCAGAAACTCTCCTTTAGGTTATTCGGTTGACTGCGAGATACCATTGAATAATCTGTATAAATGGCTGAGTGAATAGATTTTTTACATTTCATACAGAAATTTTTAGTTAACAATTCATCACCCGGGTTTGTTTGTTACTCCGACACCCCCTGTCTATAGTTAACTACCCAACCTTTCCTAAAGTTAAAAGTGTTATTGAAATGTTGTTGGTGAGATTAAGGAGAGAGAGCACGATGAGGCAGTCAGTGATATTCTTGAAAGAGGATTTTGCAGACTTTATAGCAAAGTGGAAAGGATGCTAAGTGTGCAGAGGGGGGGGGAGGCTTTTGAAGAGGACTAAAACACTATTGCTCTAGGCAGGCTTCTTTCTTTCTGATTGTGGATGTGTGAGTGGTGTAATAGATAACAGCTTGGAATGAGAATAGGAGAACAGTGTTTGAATTCCAGTCAAGTTTGTTGCATTCACCTATGTGCAAATACATTTGGGAGAGGTATGGATCCATCTCCTCCCCTCCCAGCTATGGGTTAAATAATTGGAACTTTATCTGGAAAAATCATTATGATTTTCAAGAAATTGCTTACTTACAAAAAAAAAAATTATTTTTATAATTCAAAATGAGTTTTGACTTTAAATATTGCACAAAAGGTTGATAAATCATAAAGAACAAATTAAATCTCTCTCTGATTAATATTTAACATATTTTTATTCAACAACTATCCTAGAAAAATGGAGAAAAACCTTGCCTACTCATTTGTACTAAAACAAAATTACAAGAAGTTTTTATTACTATTATCAATGTAAAGATAGTTATTCATTAATTTTGGTGCTGAAATTGACTGGAAATAGTAATCTTGAGATACTAATTTACTTTGGTAAGTAGTCAGTAACAATCTTTTGTTATATACCAACCACTTCAGTGTCCTTGGTATGACGATAAGCTACATCCAGTAGCAAGGCCTCTGATTGGGAGGTTTTGAGGAATGTGCAACCACCTCTTAATTGCTGTTGTTCCCAGGTCCAACCTGACCCAGAGTGGTAGCACTTGTTAGGGTCCCAGCTATAGGAAAATAGTGAACATCCAAACAAAAATTAAACACTATAAAAGTATAAAAATACAATTTTCATAGTAGAAAAAAAAAATTACCAGCAATGCATTTCTTTAAAAAAAATTACTAATGCTCCTAAGAAAATTAAATTTCGGTATTAAATGATTCCTAAGGACTTGATATGTCACTTAACAAACTTACTACTTTATGTCAAGTGTGTCGCCATATTGGCTAAGAAAACAGTCACTGCATTTGCTTCCTTTTTATAGAAGAACAAAGAATCTGGTAAACCGGAAGTTGCTCATGATTGGCATATAAAGGCCTGAGAAGTCACAGTGGGTTAGGAGAGCTTTATATGATGAGAGGAGTTGTAAGTGATGGCTGACATGCAAGTTGATATCTGATCAGCATAATGTTGTAAGACCCTGAAACCATTAATGGTTCTTGGCTAAAATGTCACTGATGATGAATGCAAGAGTATCGAACAGATGTATTTCATGAAATGGAAGATATATAGAAGCTGAAGAAACTTTTCTTTGAATTTGATTTAGGTCGGCCACCAGATGATGATGTCGATATTGCAGCTTTGAATCTTAAGCCCAGCACAAAGATTATGATGATGGGAACAAGAGAAGAGGTCTTGGTAAGTGTCTAATCAATTCAGAATCCTGCATTATTTGTTCCTGGCAATGAAAAACTTTCCCCCTTTAATATGTGTATTCTTGTATCTAAATATATATAACTCACTTCTAGCCACCATTAATTATATATATATATATATATATATATATATAACAGGAGTAGAGGTTTAACCATCCCTTGCTTCCTGTTTAGGATTAGGTTTCTGATTCCTTATAAAATCTACTTCAACTCTATACTACTAATGGCTCTGCCTAAACTCTTTTTATTTACTATTTATTTATTTGTTTTTTCTCAATAGGAATAGATAAGTTTGCTTATTGCCTGGTTCACACTCCTCCTTGATCCTTTGAACAGGAGTAGATGTTTATCCCTTGTTTCCTGTTTAAGATTGGGTTTCCTTTTCCTTCTAAAGTCTTCTCATTCTCTTTAACTCCCAGTAGACCCTTGCATCTTAGTGGCATTATCAACTTGCTTGGGTTGAATTGATTAAAAACATGTATGTGTATTTAGGCATGTCTAATTAAATAAATTAGACATTATGTCTACTTATTAATAAAATCCGTTCATACTCACAAATAAGCTGCTGTGTATTGTAATGAAATGATGTGAGAAATGTGCTGTAACTATGGAAATCGTTTTTATTTTCAATTTTCCAAGTACACCCCTAAAGATGATCTCGAAGAAGATTGAAAGTACTTGGGAAATGGAAAATAAAAAGGATTTCCATAGTTACAGCACATTTCTCACATCATTTCATTGCAATACACAGAAGCTTATTTGTGAGTATGAATGGATTTTATTAAAATAAAAATATATATATATATATATATATATATATATATATATATATATATATATATATATATATATATGTGTGTGCCCACACACACACTGTTTTTTTTAAGTTTTTCAATGCAAAAACATAGACTTAAAATGAATTTAGAATGATTAAAATTAAACACGAGCATGGTGGAGTAAAGACTGGGTTGTGATAAAAATTGAAATCCTACGTTTGTATTCTTGGCTCAAAGACACATAGTGCCATGGCATTCTTTACTAAAAGCCAAGACATCGTGTAACTCTTGCCTAGAACTGGGAGCAAAGATTTTTGGTTTGGATTTGTGATTGTTTACTGTTGTAGTTGGCGTGAGAAATTCAAAGAAAAAAGACATTAGAAGCATAATTAATTTGGCTTGAAAAGTTAATCCTCTTTATCTTGATATATTTTATTCTTATAATATAAAAATATTTTCTGGCTTTAAATAACTTGAAAGAGTCATAAAAAAAAAATACAAATCAGTCATAAAGAAAACTACTGCAAATCCAAACCAAAACTAGAAATCTTTGCTCCTAGTGGAACAATGAGATTTGAAATAAACCTCCAGTTCTGGGTGAAAGTGACGCTATGACTTGGCCATGAGTAAAGAACACTATACATAGTGCTGAAATGCAACTGTAATCGTTGAATTTTTTTTTTTTCCCCACCATATTAAATCAGATCTGTCACCTTCTGACTAATATTTGTTTTGTTGCATACAACTCAGATTGTCTCATCAGTGATTTTTAACAAGTTGAAAATATTGAAAAATTAATCAAATTAAAACCAGACTCATTCTTTTATGATGGAATACAGAATTTGTGTAAAGCCAAAGAAAAATAATGATGCTATGTATTTATATGAATAAAGTATTTTTTTTTAAAGAAAGAAATACTAGAAACTTTTGCATCGACCAAATAATTATCATAATTTTTTTTTTTTCCTTTTTTGTAACAATTCAGCAATATTCATATTTTTTTCTGATCAAAATAAAAAAAAAAATATCTAAAAAGGTGTTTTTGTATGTTATTTATTCTTGAATATTTCAGGCAGAGGTTCAAGAACCACCAAAGAATCTTCCCAATACAATTAATGACCTTGACATTGAAGATGAAGAAGTTGCAATTGAGAATCGGTAAGTTGTACTCTTACTCAAAATAATGCATTCCATGGTATTTATAAAGAGATTGAGAAAAGTTCTCAGCTGGATCCAAAAATGATTAAAAAAAAACAAACCCAAAAACGTATCTGATGTTTTCATTTTCAGATGTGGTCAAGCACAGCCTTCTTAGGAAAAAAGAAAACATTTCCTTGGTTTTATATGTAATCTTCTGTCTGATACACGCACACACACACACATAATTTTTATTTTTTTTATTTACTTATTTATGTATTTATTTTATTTATTTTTTTTTTTTTTTTATTTATTTATTTTTTATTTATTTATTTAAGCATTTCACCCCAAACAATGTGGGAGTGCCACTAGTATGCAAGATGTTACAGAGAGTGAAAGTAAGAGAAAAGACTGGGTATTGAGGGTGGGGGGGGGATTGAGGAAACGGTAAAAAGAAGAATAGGGATCAAGCCATCAGAAGATGTTGATTGACGTTATAGGAAGTGTGAGAGAAGCAGCTGTTGGTGTTGAAGAGGCAGTTACATTTAACTGTTTCAATAGTCAAAGGGTTGGACTGAGATGTCAACCTAGTAGCACACTTAAATCCATGCAGTTGGGGCAAAAGTCAAAATAGCTTGTCGGAGCATTTGCCATGAAAAGTTTTGTAGAAAAGACAGAGGGAAGAGACATCATGTCTGTGAGAAAGTGACTGGAGTCGAGATGTCAGGACTGATCACTTTGCATATCCGTCTCTGAAGAGCTCAAATGCAAAATCCAATTTCTTAAAACTGAGAAAAAGATGTTTCTTTAAAGCTCAAATGTGGTTGGATAAGACCCATTTTTTTCGTTTTTAAACGTTTGTACATCACCTTTTGATTATTTTTGAAGATAAAAAATTTCAAATTTAGAATTTAACCGTAAATGTATTTTTTAATTGAAAGCTTTTTTTTTTTTTTTTTTTTTCTTTGCAAAATCTGATAAATCCATTACATCTGTTTCTACTTAAAATAACACAAAACATTGATTTAAAAAAATAAAAGAAGACAATTTTGATAAGAAAGCATAGACATATGCAAAAGTATCACTGAAAGTGTGATGTGGGGGTTATAACCCCCTCCTCCTCATCTAAAGATTTTATTTCTCAATTACACCAAAAATTATGGAAAATGTCAATTTTTTCAGATGATTTTATTTTTATTTGTACTATTTCTGAATGTAGATTGTCAGTTGGCAAAAGTTGGAAGTATTTGTGGTGTGCAAACAAGAAATTGCCAGCATTTTAACTCTACCAGAATGTCACATTTTCTTCATTTTTTTTTTTTTTTTTTTTTTTTTTTTCTCTTTCTCTTTTGTGATACTGTTTCCTCCTCGCTGAAGAAACAAGAACTGGTTCTTTGTTACCATCATAATTATTCATCTTGATTCAAGGAAAAATGTGTGTTGTATACAAGATGATATTAGGAAAGAAAGTACACTGAATTTTTTCCTATGAAACTGAAACAAGTGGAGTTTTAAAAAAAAAAAGTGTCAGTTTAAGAAGTGGTACATAAAAACCTGCTCTGTGACACAAGGTGGTCCTTCATTGTCTAAGGTTACTGGGTGAACTGACCAAAAGTACATTATGATCACTTTATATGAATAGTGCATAGATGTAGTATTAATCAAAATCTAGAACAACTTCAAATGACAAAAATTTAGTAAAAGTGTTTTTTATTGTTTTCTCTCATGTATGATTTGTTTTTAAGCTAGCAAGTTAGTCAAGACATTATCAACACAAATTCTAAACACCGTAAATTTGGCATTTTTAAACATAATACAAGTTATAGCAAATGCCAATATTTGATGGTTTTTCCTATTTTTTAACTATAACAATATTTAAATGTATGTCTATAATTTTTTTTATAGCTTTCTGCAGTCAAAATTAGATTATTAATATCAAAAACAAAAGTATAAAACAAAAATATTACATTTTGCAAATCATTTAACTTTTGAATTCATTGTAAACAAAATTGTTGTGATTATTATAAACTGTTATTCTACTGTATATAATTCAAACTGCAATACCATATTATTAATTATTAAAAATTGTTATTACTTTTAACTAATTCTTTAAATTGTAACTTATAGTTACTTATTTAATTTATTCTATAATATGTATTCACATTTTATAATTGTGCAGCATTATTACTGTATCTCACAGAACATTTTTAATGTTTATTTTTAGTGTAAATTAATTTGTTTATTGAAAAGCTATTAAATGTTTAGTTTTATTTAAAATAGGAGGTTTAAACTTGATATTTCCTTTTTTTTCTTTTTTTTAATGAAAGTTGTTTTTTTCTTTGTCTAACTCTGTCATGGATATATTGGATTTTGCAGTAAATCAAGTATAGCGCTTATGGCAGATATTTGAAAGCAATAAAAAATAGGGAAAATATCACTATGTAAAAAATGATTTCGATGTGTGGTAGAGTGATGACATACCAAACCCTTGGTAATGTTAACTCAGAATTTTTAAAATTGGCATTTATCGCATTTTGCATTCGAGCCCTTATATATAGCAATGTCTATACTACGAAACCAAAAATCCTCAATGGGATAATGAGAGAAAAGACATTTAAGGCAAGCAGTCTTTTGTAATAAAATGCTGGATATCATAGAGCATTAATAGGATTAATATGAGTAAAAGTTTGTCACATAGCTGACTTATGTTGCCTTCAGCATCCTGACACCAGAGTTTATAGGCGGACATGTCCGTCCACTTTTCAGGGGTTATCAGCAATTTACTGGTTATATTTTTCAATTTTTTTTCTTTCTTATACACTTAGTGAAATTTTTTCACTAACAAAGAGATATATATATATATATATATATATATATATATATATATATATATATATATATATATATATAAAATAAAACAAGCAGTCATACAAAGAATAAATCAGTAAAGTTAATGTAATTAATGACGAATTCACTTCACTAACAGATTTAATAATGCATTAACCTACTAACCAATCATTGAATTTTGAATAGAATTCTCTCTATTGTCTGTATTTACTAACCTTAGTTTATCACAGCCAAATTTTATAATTTTTATAAAACAAAGATTGTGTCATTCAACAAGTGGTTAATAGGTTAATGCTTTATTAAATCTGTTAGTGAAGTAAATTCGCCATTAATTACATTAACTTTATTTATTTATTCTTTGTATGACTACTACTTTGTAATATTAATTGCACCATATCGGTTGGGTTTCAATCCTGGGTTGAAGCAATTGGATGTCTAGCCACATTGATGAACTGTGATACAGCGAAACAATCTGTCTGAGGACGACTGTATGTATGTATGTGTGTATATATATATATATATATATATATATGTGTATGTATGTATATATACTAACCTTATCTTCATTTGACACAGCCAAATATTAATATTATGGTTAGAAACAAATCTGTGGCATCAGTTTTTGAAGTACATATATTTTTATATATGACATTTATAGTTACCCATTTTTCAGTGAATAATTTAAAAACATCGCAGAACATTAAAATGTCCTTTTTAATCTTCCCTGTGTTTCTAGGGAGGAGCATTTAGCCAAAATAGAACGAAGAGTTAAGGAATATAAAATTGAAATCCTGAACCGACCACGACCAGGGAAGAAATTGCTTGTTCTTGACATTGACTACACTCTCTTTGGTAAGTTATCTCCCTTTACATTTTCTTTGTATTAGTTGTATATTTAAATGCACTTCAGGTTTGTAGGCCATTCCTGGGGTAAAATAAAGGGGATGAGAATTCTAACTGACTCTTGGTAGATTTGGTTGGCCAAGATGTTGTAAACTTACAAAGTTTACAACCTGTGACAACCAACTTTTCACAAAATTTGAATTTGAAACGCCAATGATTCTATAAGCTGTAAAATGTTGTGATGGAAGTCTTGAAGATGAAGACGTGCTTTTTAAAAAAAAATCTTAGAAGATTTTTCTGCACAAATTCAGATAATTTGAAGGATACTTAATAAATATTTACATTTAATTGACATTAAAGGTAAAATGTGATAGGAGATAATAATGAAGATATAAATAAAAAATGTCTGGCAAAGTTTAAACTTTGTCATCTCAAAAATAGTGTGTCAAAAGGACCCCCCTTGACACTGCTATAACTGTATACTTCTTAAATATCCTCAGCAATGTGTGGGACTCCTTTTAGAATTGTAGAAAAATTCAATAAATCTAAGTAATATCACTAAAAATCTCGGCTCTCTGCCAAGATTGGCTCATGCAGAAATAGGCTCACATAAGCTCCAAATTCAAATTTTCACATTATCATTTATTAACTGATCAGTGATGTTATCTCAAATGCCATTCCAGCTTTGAAAAAGCATACAACCATATTCTTGTTGTTTGCTACGATAGAAAGCTCAATCTAGAAAATGATTAATATTTTCCCTCCTAAAAATAGATATTAAAAAAATTGGGTAATATATTTATTAACCAATAAACTTCTGAGTTTAGTAAACCTAACTTTTAACTTTCTTGAATCATCTATTTTCTTATAACTATCATTTTGTAAATTCATAAAAAACAATTTTCAGTTTTTTCAATAGACCATTGACAAGGAATTTTTCATATAATTATTGAGTTTAAGTATATTCTAGTAATATCCTCTGCATTTTTATCCAGCACGAAAAACTAATGAAGATATGTAAACAAACATATATTAGCAGTTGTTATAGTGCTCTTCACTGACTGATGGAAAATTTTACACATACATAAAGCAATGCAAATATATGACTCTCATGTTATGTAGTCGCATACATCTTTTTCACTTATACTAATGCAATTCATGTTTGTTGTAAAAAAAGAGGAAATATTTTTTTGTTGAACTTTGTTTTATTCTCAATAATAAAAATTAATTTTATACTCAATTATTTCATATTTTTTGCACACTTTTTCCTCTGCAAATATTGGTGACCGCCAACCTATCGAACACATTTGTAAATGTGTTCCTCTACAAATGCTTATTTACAAGATTATAAAAACATGTGATTGAAGTACAATGCAATATTTAGATTATTACTAATTTTTATAAAAATGCATAAAAGTCTGTCAATTATTTATTATCAGCCAAGTGCTGACCAACAAAGGAATCTTAAATGAAGAGTGTACACTAAGCACGTTGACTGAAGCAATTGGTCTTAAAGCCAAAACATATTTCGGATTCTAGGAAGTTGCTTACAGTACCCAGTGGTCCCCCATCTAAGCACTGACCAAGCTCAACACTGCTTAACTTCAGTGATCAAACACGAACTGGTATACATTTCATGGTTGTAAGTAGAATTTTCTACTTTCATTTGTCTTAATTATGAAACTTATGACAGCAAAAGAAAAGGCCTTTTTGATCTAAAACTAATGTAACGTGCATAAATATGGCTTTTAACTAGATCCAAATTATTTTTTCTAAACCTCAGCTCGGTGACATTGGTGTAGGACAAAACATTTCTAAAAATTAATAAAATTCAGTATTATAGGTTTTTAAAAGTAAAAATTGTTATTAATTATAGTCTTTTTTTTAAAAAAAATATAAATAAAGAACTAAAAAAATAAATCCAGTATTATTGGTTTCTAAAGAAAAAAAAAAATTGGTATTAACTATAGGTGTCAACCTCTAACCCATTAATGCCCCACCCCCTTTTGGAAACTGGGCATTATTGGGTTAAGAAGACCATTACATATGGGCAAGGAAAGCCTATTTAGTACATACCTAATCTTTTGAACAGAATTGACCGGTACCACACCTGCTGTAAATATGAAGTTTTCACTATATTTTAAGTAAATTTTTATCAAAGATTTCTGTAAAGTCAGGCCCAAAATATTCAATTCTGTATATCCTGGAAGTAGTAAGTCAACTAGTTGATTTCTAAAGTGTTAACAATGCATTCAATTTTCAAAGAACTCCTTGTGTTATGAAACAATTGTCATGATTATTACTTAACAGTTAGTAGGTAGGTTTTAAAGCTTGTTGACTAGCAAGTTTTTGCAACAAAGCCCCTCATATCATATGTATTTTTAGGAAAATATCTACTTTTGAAATTCCTAATGTCCATTATTTTTTTTTTTTTTTTTTTTTGCTAGACCATAAATCTGTAGCGGAACGAGCTGAAGAGCTTAAAAGACCTTTTCTTCATGAATTCCTGACTTCGGCATATGAAGACTACGACATTGTCATTTGGTGTAAGGATTTTTGTCTTTTTCTTTTATACAGTTTTTTTCTTTTCTTTTCTTTTACCCAATTCACCCCAATCAAGGCGAGAATGCCACTATAAAGCAAGAGGCTACTGTGAGTGAAAGAGAATGGGAAAGATTTTAGAAGGAAATGGAAAACTTAATTCGAAATCATAAACAAGAGATAAACTTCTACTTCTGTTCAAAATTAAACCAGGGAGGTGTTTGAATCGGAAGATAGACGAACTTATCTATTCCTAAAAATAATGTTATCATCTGTCCCATGATTTGGTGTTCTCTTAGGGTTACTCTGCAGTTGAGTGTCTGACCAGTTCCCTCCACATATCAAGCCAGGGTAGTCTTTCATGCGTAGAGTGTCTTGAGCAAGTAGACCTAGTGGAGCCTATCTCTTTGCAGGTCAAACCACAGCTGTTGTTCTCCAACTTCAAGTCTTGCCTTGGTCATAGACATGTGACCATTGACTTTAGTCTAAGAAGCCTACTGTCCAGTGATGCTGTATCATCACTGTACCTGTTGCAGACATGGCTGGACAGCGCTTGTGCTACATGGCTGTTGACCATACAAAAATGTTGGTCTACCTTTTGACAGGTTTTGTTTTTAATACTGTTGGGAGGTCTAACCACCCTCCTCACCAGAAAAGCTTGGTGGGGGAACCAGTTTAGTTGATGATGGCGCAATCATGTGGTAGGTAGTAATGGGAGAGGTGGGTGGTGGGCCAATTGCATGTACAACTGTTCATCATGACAGGAGAAAATTCAGGGTCTGCTCATTGAAGATGAAACATTATGAGCTTGATTTTGGAGTTATTTCATGTTACAAGCCATTTTCCCTTCATTGGGGTGAAATTTGCTGTCAGACTCTGATCATCTAGATTTTTGGGAAAATGTACCCTTAAAATATTTAACCCCAGTTTTTAAAGCTTATAGCATATACAGTACAGGTAGTGTAATGGTTAGCAATGAGAAATTGGTTAGCTGAGTTTAAATTCCAGTTGAATTTGTTACATTCACTTGTGTGTGTGTATGTTATATATGGTGCAATGGGTAACCATTGTCACCATTTTATATTTTAAATTTCACGCATGTATGTTGTTTGTTTTTGACTTTGTTGAATGCACAGTATAATAGGATGAGTTAGGCACCGTCTGTAAGAAAAAGATCACCATGAAGCAACTCACTCTGCCAGAAATTTTGAAACGGCATACTGTACTGCTTGGCATTCATGTTGGAAGCTCCATTATGAACATTTCAGAGTTTGGGTGCCAATCTGAAGACAGTGCAGAGGATTCAGAAAGAGTTGGATGAGTCTGATGGTAATGACGAAGGTATGGCAGCTCAGAAAACTCACTTTGATTGTTCTGATAAGAAAAGAACTCCTGAATTTCTTGTTGAGGGCCTCACCTCACCAACAAATTCGGGAGTTCTTTTCTCAGCATTGCAGGCTACATCAAGTGCTTTGAGAAGGTAGTGCTGCCCTGGGTTAAGAGGATGGCTGATGGAAGACCCTATCTCTGGCGATAGGACTCTGAGCCCATGCTACACACACAGGAGAACCCAGTCATGGCTGCCAGACATCAACCCTTACATTTGGCACCTAATTCACCAGACTGCAAACCCCTTGATTATTATGCATGGAGCGCAGTTGATCAAGAGACCAACAAAACTCCTTGTAACACCAAAGATGAACTGAAGGCAAGGATTATGGCAGCATTCACTGACTTAAAGGAGACTGTCCAGAAAATCCGCAAGAGTTTCCAAAGTCATTTAGAGGCTGTGGTTGAAGCCAATATTGATTTTATTGAATAAATGTACTCTTTAGTATTTCAAGATATTTTTGTGCAATTTTGGTAAATATATTTGTTAAAATGAGATGTCAGTGTTATTTTTGTGTAATTTAGAGGATAATTTATCTGTGTGTGCGTATATATACACATATTAATGTTCACCCAAAACAAGGCCAAAGTGCCACTCAAAGTAGAGGATTACTGTGTGGTGTTGTATGAGTGTAAGAAATGTTAAGTGAAGCCCATGATAAAGTTAACCCTAGACTTGAAGAGGTCAAGATTGTAGTGATTGGGAAAACATCATGCCAGGAGTTTGTTCAGTTGTTCTATCTATTTCTTTTATTCATATCTATCTGTCTATCTATTTCATTCTGTCCATATCTACTAAACAGGACCTATTTGATAATTGAGACAGTTATGTTGCCATTTTTTATACACTAATGTTTACCCCATGCAATGCCCAAGAGCCACTCAAGATAGAGGGTTACTGTGTGGTGTTGTATGAGCATAATAAAGGGCAAGAAGTTCAGTTCATTGGGTTATGCAGAAAAGATAATGGTTAACCCTAGACTTGAAGAGGTCAAGACTGTAGTGATCTGGAAAATGTCCTGCCATGAATCTGTTCCACAAATCAGTTCTTGGAAAGCTGTCCAAATGAACTTACTATTGGAATACGAAAGGAATGGGAATGATTCACCCTTGTGTAGGTGACATGGCAGGTCCCAATTGTAAAGATAAGGATTGGTTGGACTAAGGAATGTAGTTAGAGCACTTTTTTCTTTAATCATTTCACCCCAAGCAAAGAAATAAATCTATTAAAACACAAGGGGTTACCAGTGTTAGAGAATACAAGGAAAAAAAAAAAACACTATTAAGTAGCGATAGAACAATAAAAGAACAAAAATTAAGAAGATAACTATTGACATTGCATTAAAATTTTTGAAGATCAAAATTGACTGGAAAGCAAGATGTCAGAAGAGTTCCACCAAATGAGAAGTGTGATAGAAGGAACTGCTAGCATAGAACTTACGGTTACATCTCACCATTTCAACTGTAAATTGATGAGACCTTACTGACAAACTAGTACTGTGCTTTAGTTCATAAAATCTAGATAGTGTAAAGGAAAACTCATCAGAATAATTACCATGAAAATATTTATAGAAAAGGCACAGAGAAGATACGTTACAGCAATGACAAAAGTGACTGTAGATGCTAGGTCAGACCAATAACCCGCCATAGAAATTACGATAGAGAAGCAAAAGGATCACAGCAAACTTTTGCACAAATAGCCTTAGGAAAGGTATAAACCCATCTCTTTTACTCCACAACTATGGATTAAATATCAGGGAAAACTGGATTTTTTAGCCATGGCTACCAATCAGAATGATAACTGAATTACAAGCCGAAGCATATGCTTTATAGCCATGGTGTTCACAATGATTCAAGGGTCTTGACTGTGCTCTATAAGATAGTTAGGTTTTAAAGCTTGTGGAACAGCAAGTTTGTGCAACAAAGCACCTTATATGTATCTTTAAGAAAATATCTCCCCTCGCAAAAAAAAAAAAAATTAAAAATAACTGTCCCGTTAACTGAGGGTTTGTGAACCCTGAGGCACTGAACACTAAGACAATTTACTGTTTATGACACCTGAGAAGTTTCACCAAAACATTTTAAATTCCACCTGTGAGAATTTGTGTTCACTGCACATGAGTGCTCTTGCGAAAGGCATGAATCCATTATCTATGGGTTAAATAGCAGGGTAAACTGAGAATTGTAACCTTGGTTGGCAATTTAGGAGGACAACTCAGGATTTGAAACAGTGGAGAAGGCAATGGAGGAAACGACTGCGCTATCTTTCACAAGAACAAGGGTGTCAAAGTGCAGTTTACTTATGTTAATAAAAAGGAAACCGTGGAGAGTCATGATCGCCCATAACCTTTGATTTATTCAAGATTCTTTGGAGAGAATGTAATTGCAACAGAAGAACTATTTTTTTTTAATTTATATTTTTTATTTTATTTATATTTTTAATTGTTTTTAATTTTATTTATTTTTAATTTTTTAAATTTTATTTATATAAATATTTTTCAAGATAGAAGTCTCATTTTTCACATTGTACATAGATTATTATCTTATATTGCTATGTGTTTCTGTTCCAAGATTTAGGACTTTTTTTTTTTTACATTGGTGTTCACCCTCAACAAGGCCTAAAAGCCATTCAAAATAGAGGGTTACAGAGTAAGAGGCACAGTTTATAGGATACTTTATTTCTACACAGTGATGTTATGTATGGTATTTGTAGTTTTTATTATTTTTTTAAATTGTGAATGGTTGTGCCATTCATTTCCTATATTTTTTTTCTTTTACAGCGGCTACCACCATGAAATGGATTGAAATTAAAATGAAAGAACTTGGTGTAACCAGTCATCTAAACTATAAGATTACATTCATGCTTGATTATATGGCAATGATAAGCGTCCATACACCAAAATATGGAGTCGTAGAGGTTAGTATGGTCTGAAATACTACTGCTGTATGTATGTGTGTGTGTGTGTGTGTGTGTGTGTGTGTGTATAAATATATATATATATATATATACACACACATACGTGTGTGTGTTTGCAAATATATAGAAAAATAGGAAAGAACACATTAAGTAAATAATCTGAGGTTCTTTAGTATTTCTGTTTTTATTTTTAAAAAAACAGTGCTCAATACAAAAGTAGAGCCTAAATTATAATTTTTTTTTTTTTAAAAATATGATTCCTTCGCTACATAAGAGTTCTCATGTTTCAAAAACAAGAGCCAAAAACTTCAAAAATAATTGTTGAAATTGAATTAAAGTATCAAGCTCTGTTTCATCCTCAAGCGAAATTTTTGGAATAGTTGTTTATTTGTACGTTTGTACAAAATGTGGCACAAGGCCAAAAAAGGGGGTTGGGGAAGGAAGGTCTTCTTCTATCTTGATTCTAAACTTAGCCAGCCACAGACACGGACCCAAACATACCAACAATATTCCTATCACCAAAACAACACATTCACTCCTACCTTTCTTACTGCGTCCACCATAATACCTCAAATTCTCTATGAAATCCTAACTAGTCCCCATATGTACATTTCAAAGTCTGTGGGGGAAGGGGAAAAAACAACAATTTAAAAACCCCAATGATTATTTACAATATGATTTAATACTATTTACATAAAGCAAAACAAAATAGGGTTAGTAATAAAACCCCCCACAGTCCCTAAATGTGGCAGAAATATTATTTAACTGGACGAAATAATTGCGGGATTATAGCATTATAAAAAACTAAGCATGCCCACAAACACGCAGTCATTTAGACACAATAACAAATACGAAAACACACACGAAACAAAAAAAAACTGACATCACTGACCACCTAACGAGGGAGGGGATGGGGAATTAAACAAAGGAAAAATAGGGACAGAAATAAAAGGGGCCAATGGGCATGCATACCCTAGCTAAGTTAACCAGTTAACGGGAAACTAAAGATCAAACTAAAAAAAAACCTAAACTAGCCTAATATCGGGGCGGGTTGCCTCTGTTCAACCCTGATAGGACAAAATCCTGAACCTAACAGACATCCAAGTGCCACTCCAGGTCAGCCCCTTTCACTCTACATAGTTGCGCAAGATTTACCCAACTTTTGCCGAATTCTGATGAAGAGAGTCGCAAAATTTTTGGAATAACTAATCTTGAAGTTTACACATCTTTATAAGCAGATTCATTTGTAGAATTAATTACTATGGAAATGGCTGAAGCAACCAGTCCAATAAGGGACATAAGGGTTAATAATTGTATCAACATAGAGCTTGATACTTTAATGCAATTTAATTTTAACAATTATTTTTGAAGTTTTTGGCTCTTGTTTTTGAAATGGGAGAACTCTTATGTAGCGAAGGAATCATATTTTAAAAAAAAATAAATATAATTATATATATATAAACCTCTCGTCAATGGACTAATAGGGGGATGGAGTGGTCTGTTAAAGCCAATTGTAGAAGGGAAGGAATTATTTTTGAGTTATAAAACCACTATAGTAACTCCCAGTAATTATGATCATAATGTAAATACTATAAACATGTATATATGACATAAATAAATATATACTTAATATAGATATATTAATCAAAATAACAAAAATAATAGATTTCTCACAGCTACTTCCTCACACATATGCTAATGTGTCGTACTTTATATACTGTACACCCGTCTTTGAAAGGCCCACCATTGCTGCCAAGTAGTTACTTTGAAAACTGATATGACTCATTCTGCTAAGCCTGCAAGTTTTGAAATACATTGTTGACTATTGGGAAGTTTTTTTGTTTTTTTTTTTCCGGCAGATTTTTTTTTTATTATTTTATCTGCAGATTTTGTCCATTGCATCTGAAATCTGTTTTTTTTTTTTTTTTTTTTTTTTTTTTTTTGGGAGGTTGTAGATGAGAAGTTTGACTGTGTATGTATATAATGTTAAAGACAGGTGTGTCTGTTCAACTTTTTAAGTTTTTACAACATCCGACTAAGTTGCCAGAATTAAAATTGGTAAACTTTCCAAAGTTTGTATTTTAAAAACTTTATTTATTTATGAATCAGAGAGCCGAGTTTAGCTTTAGTATATTTACTTACGTGCAAATACCTTTGGGGAAAATTATGAAACCACCTCCTTCGCACTCCAAGCTATGGGTTAATTAGTAGGACTTGTTTCAATAAATCATTATTATCTCTAAAAAAATTCTTACAATCAAAATATTTTCTGCTTTTAAATAACCTGCAAAAGGTTGACAGATGTAAAAAAAAAAAAAAAAAAAAAAACCCCAAATCAATCAAACCCATTATCTGCATCAATAACTGCTATGGTACATGTATATCTACTATGCAATAGTTGATACTAAAATTGTAAAAGTCATATTGCCTTTGTGTAATCAGAACAGCCACTCAATTGGTTCTAATTAATTGTATTGTTCTCTCTGTGTATAGGCAAGCATTGTATTTATTTCCATTATAGTATAGAAAATGACAATAAACCCAATTGTTTCAGTGCTAATTTCGTAATTAGAAGAGAAATGTGGGAATAATTGCAAACCTTGTACGAATCTAATCAAGAGATTTAATCTCATTAAATTATATCATTTATTTAGCAAACTCCCACCAGTTAATGAAGTTTTAATTAATGCTTTTTCAATTAATGCCTTAACAATTTCTTTTATCTCCAATAAAATGAGTCATGAAGTCTACCAATTATAATGGGAGATTGGAAATCATAGAAAAGAAGTTCCAGCTAATTTCTAAATGGTTTTTCTATTGAGGATCCAGTCATTTTTATGATAGAATATATATTACACTCTGCTATTACCTCTGAAAACAAATGGACAAATTTTGTATTGATTTTAAAGAAGGACAAAAGAAAAACATGTCAATTTTTTTGTTTGATTGATTCATATTGAGATTGTAATTTTTTAGAGATAATGATTTACTTATACAAGACTTACTAATTAACCCACAGCTGGGGGAGAAGAGAATAATTCATACATTTCCCAAGGGTATTTGTGTGTGTGTGTGTGTGTGTAAGTGAATATAACTGATTAACAATTCCATTCATTACACCACCTGCACATCCAAGCTAACAGCACCTGGTATTCCCAAGCAGTTACCCATCTATGTACTGACCAGGCTTGACGTTGCTTAACTTCAGTGATCATACAGGAACTGTTGTTTCAATGTGATATAGCTGTAAGTTTGGTTTTAGTGAGAAAAAGAAAGCATACATAATAACCAGGAAAAAATAAATTGTAAGATTGTTGGAAATTTATTTTTGAAACGAAGATGCAATATTTCATTAATAAAATGATAAAAAAAATAAAATCTTTGTTAAATTAAACAATTAATTGCCTGTATTGCCTCAGATAAATAATGGACCATTTCATTTTGATTGTGAGGAAAGACAGAAGGCAAATTCACATCAGAAACGCTGTCTGGTTTTAGTGAGAAAAAAAAAGATACATGATGATAAAGAAGATAAAATAAAAGATGTGATGATAAAAAGAAAAAGAAGTTAGACAAAGTGATAATGCAATTAGATGTGAACTTGGCGTAAGGGAGGGAAGGGAAATACAGAGGAACAAAAAGTAGAGAAAAGACCAGAACGGAGGAAAAAGAATGAAATTGTTTGTAACAGTAAAATGGACATATATTATTTTCGTCTTTTTATATTGTATGTTTGGATCTTGTCAGCATGGTCAAGAGGGAACGCTGTATGATCTGAACAGTGCACGGCTTCCATATTCCATTGCCCAGACTTGTGCCCTGGAGAGGTCACTTGACCAAATGAGGCACTACTTTTTATCTTGCAAGATAAACAGATGCTTACTTAATTCTTCTTGCTATTTATCTAATGTATCTTCTTCAATATTATTTAAGTTTTTATCCACTGGGGCATGTGTCCTTGAGTTGTGAGCAGTACCTACTGCAGAGGTGAACAAAAACTTGGAGAGTTGAGTTAAAAGGAGATAATTGAGACACCCGGAAGAGGCATGGCATGTGGAACTAGAACAATCTACCCTGGTGGATGAAATAAATGGTTCAGTATGAAATACCAATCGCCTGGAAGGCGGAATGTACAATGGTCAAAACATTGTGAATATGGCAATAAAGATGAGGACAGCAATCTGAACAATGTAAATAATGCAAATATTCAACTTTCATTGATAAGTATCCTTCATTAATGAAATATAGCAAGAAATTTTCATGTCTACTGTTAGTTGCCATTATTGCACAACTTATTTGGACTAGTATTGTTGTCTTTGTTGTTTTGATAACTCTATTCCAGCTTGCCTTCCCTGTGTTGTTTGAGGTTTTTAAGGTCATTCCTTGATCTTATTTGGACCAGTATCTTCGTTGTTTTGATGATAATATACCAGCTTATGATTAATCTCTCTGGTTTTCCTTGTGAACTTCTAAAATGAAGTCTTAATCCTTATTTCATGAATTATTCAAACTATTATTCTTCACTTTTCTTTGACCATTTCATTTTCTGACTTTTCTTTTTCCAGCTGTTTATTTTATTTAGTAATTTTTTAATTATAGCCCACAAAATTTTATTTGATCTTTCCTTATCATTTTGAATAAGGGCAGTTCACAGACAAACAGCAAGGGTGTGGGTTGTGCAATAGGCATGGCAACCAAAATATTTTTTTTTTTTTTTTTTTTTTGTCAAATTTTTCATATTGTTATAGATTAAGCTGTCCAGATATATTTTTTTTGTTTTAATTTCAATTTTGAGGAATTTTAATCATATTAAGATGGAACATGGTAGAATTGTCAATGCAACCAGAAATTTTTTTTGATATTAATGTAGATTAAGCATTCTTGATCATATGTTTATTCTTTTTTATTTTATTTATTTTTTTAATGAAATTTTCTAAAAGTTAATACAGGGGTCCAGTTTGCTATATATAATTCATTGTAAATTGATCTACCAATGGAAGCTAAAATAACATGTGCTCATATGTGATTTTTTTTTAAATAAAAAAAAATAAAGACATTTATAATCTGGA